GATTCCAGGTGTTTTCAATTTTTGTAAAAAGAATAAATAATCAAAGCTCACTACTTCTAGCCGTGGTTGTGCTGTTTCCACAGAGGTACAGGACTTCATATTACAGTGAAAAATGAGGCCACAGTGACTACAAATGTGTCAGGAGCAGGAAAAACCCCAAGAATTGGATTGGATTCAGAAGGTTAAACATTGTGTTGTTACTGGTTTTGTTATTTATAGCTTCAAAGGCAAGGAAAAGTAGTCTGACATTTCGGGGAACATGCTTATTCACTTCTCTAGTTTGACGAGAAGATTGATGCCACTTTCATGCCTTTACGTTCAATATGCAGTTACAGTGAGCAGCCAGTTATCTCAGCTTAGGTAATTCACATTAACTTGCAATTAAGCAAGAAATGTGCTGCAGATGAGCTAACGCAGTCAACTCCTTGTCTTGTGTGGCTGTGTTTACTAAGCTCACTGCATTGTTGTCTTCAGTTTTGACCTTTGATTATGTTAGCGGGTCCGTTTACAGTGGAGTTGAGCCACAGGTCCCTTCTTCCTGGACCCCACCCTGATGAGCAGACTGTTACGTGTTGAGGCTGTCTGGGCCTCCATGTCTGAACTGCCACAGGCTCTGAGCAGCACGGTGAGCTCTTGAACCACCCACTCCTTTCCCTGCGAGAAGTCTGGCCTGTATAAACCAATCAAAGCAGATAAAAAAAAAAACACAGACTCTGCGTTTCCAACCCACTGATGGAGCACAAAGGAGAGAATGCGTTTGCTTTATAGGCCACATGCAGGTTGTTTAGGTCGGAACATTTGATTTACGTTAGATAAGACAAACCATATTACCTTTTTTCTTTTTGCGCTATGCATTGGGTCACCGGACACTGCAGTCATATAAGCCACATTCAGAGGGCTGCAGTTATATTTTCAAGCAACATTACGAAAAAATGTGATGAACAGTTTAGTCTACAAGGTTTTTTCGACCCTTTCCTGCAGTAGCAACTTCAGATGCAACAGGTTGTCCTCTGCAACAACAAACAGGCTGAGGAAATTCGCAGGCAGAGCTCTGCAGTTAGGAATAGTTTGGTTTGGTGTGTGGGGGTGTTACAAAGGTGTGAAGCTGTGAGAAAGGTCATGGAGGAAACATCCTGTCCCTCTTTCTGCTTTTTTTCTCCTGGCTAACGTTTGCAGGTCGTAAACTCAACTCAAGGCTAATTGTAAATCAGCTCAGATTAGGAGGCTGTCCGGCGGAGGGCAGATGGAGTTGCCCTGCGGACTCTGATGTCTGAAGTGACCGTGGGTTCTTCAGCATCCACGTCTGTCGTGGGGTTTTTTTTTGTGCAACTCGAGTGCCGTGCCGAGTCCTTGATCGCTCTCCTGGACTCTCTTTGCCTCCTTAACCTGTAACATGACCCCGTTTTTTACTGTTGAGTCCTTAAAACCTTCGTCCGCTTTTGCTAATGGCTCAAATTTCTCTTTGTTTTAGAGTTTAGAACCTGGTGCTATTGCTAGCCTTTTCTTCTGCACAATATGGATTTATTTTCATGGTTTTTAACAATCAATGACTCTTTATAGCATCAGTTTATGTCATTCATAAATGTGAATATTTCAATCTTTCAACATGTTAGAAAACGGTGACAAGCGGCCATTGTGGCATCTAAAAGGTCTATTTGCCCAAAATCGAAATGTATGTAATTTACAATGATATGAAGAAAAGTCAAATGGCTGATACCAGGATTCAGTTTCGGTCACTCTTATTTCTTCCAATATATATTTTGTGACTAGCTTTATGTATTTCTTTTCTCTGATTTCTATGCAGGAGATTTCTACGTGAAAAAAAAGTATTTTAATCATTTATCAAATTAAGCCTTATCAGAGTTTAATACATTGATACTTTTCTGTCCTATAACTGGTTTTGTTTGGAAACTCAGTCTCCCGTTACGGCTCCCAATGTTGCCCTAATGATTTTAGAGATAGAGAGCAGTGACAATAGAACCAGTTCATCTGGTTATGCAGTGTACTGGTGTTGTGTTTTAGCCGGATTTTGCTCCACAAAGCGCCAGTGGTGGAGGGGGAGGGATATACTGACCCTGCCCACCAGCCATTGTTAGCAATTTTCTATGAGGAAAAAAAAAATAGCTCAAATGTCAAAGGATGGGAATGGCACAGCACCAAATCAAAACAAAGCTACCACACTGAATCCTTTGTGGAGCCCCGTCTCAGGTCAAACGAGAAAGGCCACACTGGAGGAGAGAGTCTGTAGGCAGCATGGCAACACAACAACAAGACGCAGACATTTTTGGCATATCTGTAGTATTTTTTTCCTCTAGAATATGCCGGTGAATCCAAAACTATGAAGCGCTACTGCTCCCTGTCCGCCAAATAACGGCTTCTTCTAGCCTCTTATAAACACAGGAAGTGCAAGATAGGATCACTGTGGAAGAAAGTGAAATGAAATTAGCTAAATTGGGTTGCTTGGCTCATATTACCCAAATGCAGTCTAAAAGGAAACCTTCCCTCTGCCTTTTTGCCTTAATGTCGTTCAAGCAAACGTTGTTTTAACAGTTGTGGCTCAGATGCACACGCATCTGCAGAGTGTCACCTGCTTTTGTTTAGAGTACCTGAGGCTCCAACTGTCAGTGGAACATTATTAAACAGAGTCTTCATTGATCATAATGACTTTTCTATTAGGTGACGAGTAGGATTCCTTGTGCATTTATTGATCACCATTTAAACTCTATAATTTTTTCACATCTAATGAAGAGCTGAATAAGTGAAACCATCCATTTAAATGCAGCACCAATAGGCAGGTTGTGGATTTCTTTTGCTCTTTTGTCTGCAACAAACGGATGAGTATCTGTGTGTTCATCTGGCCTACATGCTTTCCAGTAATTCACAATTAAATTACTGCAAAAGTTGCTCTTTGCCTGTTTGCCCCACAGTTCCACTTCTGTATGCATGACTGACCAAGAAAACAAAGGGAAGCAGGCTTTGGGGCTGGACGGATGCTGGAACAGATATCCGGGGTTCTTTTTTCACTTACAATTTGAGTGTTTTATGTCCAATTTAAAGAACATTATCTGAAGTGCATCAAACGGATACTTGTAATCCTTTACGTTATTATGAATTGAAACAAATGTTAATTCACCTAAACTCAAAAGGTTACAGTTACAATATCCAGTAGATTACTGCAGCTGTTGATTGTGTTTATCATTGATTATTCTGGCATTTATCCTCGAATTAATCAGCTATTTTTTTTTGTCTAAAAATGATAAAGAGGTAAGACCCCTCAAGAGTTCAGCATACAGTGACATACGGCAAATGAAATCGGTAAAGTTGTGAGCTTCAAAAGGTGGAACCGAGAAATTTTGTTTTTAAACCGATTATTAAAGTAGTTATTGGTAGAGAATGCATCAGTTAAAATTAAAAGGAAATGCATGTTGAAATTTAGTTTTGTTTATCACCAATTATTTCATACACTGGTTTTTAATCAGTGACCAACAAAGTGGACCATCCTCAAAATATTCACAGTTCATCTGTTTTTTTTTTTTGAAAAACTTCCAAAAATGTTCAGAATGCTCAGACAGATAGTATATTAAAGACAAATACAGATGGAGGATTCTGCTCTTCACTTCTGAGTCTGACCTTCCTAAAGGCTGTGTTGTAGGTGAAATTTCTCCCAGGAGAGGCAGGGGAGGAGAGAGCAGCTCGGGGGTCAGACAAGAGAGAAAATGTACTACTATAAACTACTACTCTAAACAGGACACATTCCTCCTGTAATTCTGAACATCTGGTATGCATGTTACTTCTCCCCTCGCTCCTGCGTGAGTTTTTTTTTTTTTTTTTAGGTTCGTCAAAATACTCCATATGTAACATCTTGTCACTGACTGCACTGAAGTTATAGCTTTGTCATACTTTTTTTTGTTTTCCTTTTAATGACTTGATTGTGGTATCCATTGGCAAGTTTGTTCTTGAGTGTACATTATGATTAGTGATTGCAAAACTATGCACTTTAATGGGAATGTATGTGGAAGTATCATGCCCTTGCCTCTGTCCTGAGTCCTCGCCAGACAGCATGATTCATGATGTGCCGATGGAGTGAGCAATGTTGTCTCGATGTGGAAAACTAATTTTGACATGCTCACATGTGATGTTCCACCCCTGAGTGTTCATCATAGGAACAAATACATGGGGTTTCCATTTATCAAACACTGGAAAAAATCCCAGTATAAACATCACATCTGGCTGAGGATGGGTTAACAGGGCAGGGTGGTGCGTTTTTGAGTTGTAGCTGCAGGTTAAAAGTCAAGCTGACAGGCTGTTTGTGGCTGGGCTCATGAGGTCCTGTTGATACTGGTGTAAATGAGGGTTTGCAGTGCAACAAAATCCCACGTCTCTTCAAAGATAAGCGCTGAGGCGATCAGTTTCAGGGACTGCCAAGCTCCCCCTTGTTGCTGCGCTTCCTCATTTTTGAGATTTCTTTGTCAACCCCCTGTTTACAAGAATTTGGCTCAGTCAAGGAAGTAATTAGTCAAAAGCGTGTCATACAGTTTGTGTTTCTCTTTGCAGTTGTCATCAGAACATAAAATGCTCAAATGGTTCGGTCTAAACACATACAAATTAGAGCATTTAGGGTTTAATTTGAGCCCAGTAAACCGGCCGCCTCAGGACATCTCATGTGGCGTTAAAGTGTTTTTATGGCTGGTTACGATGACAAGTCTGGTAATCGGCCTGCGCTCCGATAGATGTTGTGGTTACCATCAAAACGCTGCCTGAACGATAGTCAGACTGAGAGCAGCGGAGATGCGCATCGTCTCCTGTGACAGGATGCTGAAAGTCAACATAGGAAGTGAGGTCATGTTGCAAGTCCCCAAAATTTCTGTCCGCTTTTTTGCCGTTGGCGCCAGACACTGACACACACTCAGTCACAGCTGCTATAAATAATTTTTAAAAAACTGAGAGAAGGGAAGTATGCTGCCATCATGAAACTAATGCACAGTATTTTGCATTTTCAGAATTCTATGAACCTGCCTCCAGACAAAGCCCGGCTGCTCAGACAGTATGACAATGAGAAGAAGTGGGACCTCATATGCGACCAGGTGATTTCTCAAACTCATGAATTACCAGGACTGTGCTCACACTCGACCTCATAACTGCACCAACATCACCACAGAAGACTAAAACACAGCTTTCTCACAGGACTCCTTGGATTAGTTAAGTTTCAATGTATATTTTTGTAGTGTCAAAAATGATCAAGTTAAGCTCCATGAAATAATTCTGTAGGGTCTTTAGAAATAATCAGTATTTATATTAGTTAGGTTGAGTTCAATAATTTATAGAACTGTAGGGTTTTAGCTATATTATTGTATTGGTTAGGTTATTTTCCAAAGTTAATAACACTGTAGGGTCTCAGCATGAGACTGTTTTAGGGTTTTTGTGGATTAATGTAAAGTAAAGCCGTATTTTAAATAATTTTTCTGAGGTTTTAATCCCCAATATGTAAGTTACTCAGGTAAAATCACACCATAAATAACACTGTAGGGTCTTAATTCTAATATATACATTTGTTAGATTAATTTTTATAATGCAAATCATAATCTTTTCTACAGGAAAACACTTTGATGCAATTGCTGTTTGCTTGATTTGACGTAATTGTTTTCTTGTTTATGTTGAATGGGTTTTTTTTTCCGATTCAGTTTGTTTTCACTCTTTGTCTAGTTTGACATTTGTTTAATTATTAAACACTTTTTTAAAAAGATGCTATAGAAATAAAGTTATCATCATCATCACTACACACTCACATTCAATGTTTGCTCTGTTGTGTATCTTCAGGAGAGGTTTCAGGTGAAGAATCCACCTCACACCTACATTCAGAAGCTACGAGGATACTTAGACCCTGGAGTCACACGAAAGGTGGGACCGTATAAATGATCCTAAGGTATCCATTTAAAGGGGAACTCCACCGATTTTTTGCACATCAATGTCTGTTTATACGTTTTTTTTGCGCTGCAAGTGGCTCCAAAGCGAGCTCCGTGAAATCTGATAAACTGCCTCAAGTGATGTCGATCAAGAAAATGAAGGCTGCTCTTTGTGCTGCTTAAGGCAACACGAGCTGCTGGTAGCGCCACGCACCTGAATCTCACAATTTCAGGCTGTGTTGTGGGCAATGTAGAGACCAGTTTTGGACAAATGCTTGGAAAAAGTCTCTAATTATGTGTAATCAATTTTTTATTTTTATTTTTTACTGTTCATTGCGAGCCTAGAGGTGTTACGGTGCAACGCTAAATTGGTGGAGAACTCTTTTAAATGGACCGTCTAATGTGTCACTGCTTCTTAATACTTAGATAATAACAAATCTGCAGCAATCTTTTTTGCTCTCATTATTTCTTACAGAAGTTTCGGAGGCGTGTGCAAGAATCTACGAAAGTCTTGAGGGAGCTGGAGATATCGCTGAGGACGAACCATATTGGGTAATCGATGCTCATCTGGCCTTTTTCCGGTGAATTGTACAGATCTATTCATCAGTGCGCGAAGCTGGAGGAAACCACAGTATTCTTTTCCTTTGCAAAGAATATTCCTTTGTGTGTCCCTGCTGCTGCTGCTGCTGCAGAGACCCAGAGCTCCTAGTTGTGCCCAGATCTCCCCCATTGTTTCTAACTTGCCAAGCTCTGCAGCTCCACTTCATAGAGCTGGTCCTCATAATGCCCAGATGGTAGCCATTGTGCTGCCTCGTCCACTCCCCCGTAGCGTGGAGCAGGAAGCTTTGTTGTGTATGCCAGAGGGACAGGAAGCCTGGCTGACCATTGCTAAACCCAGTGAAAAGCACAAGAACAAACACAAGGATACTTTGATGTTTACGCATTCCTCACCTAGTAAAGCAAACTACATTTTTTTTGCAATATTCTGTCAGGTTTCAGTGCTGTCCACCTCTCCACCTGCTGCAGGCGTGGATGCTACTTTCTTCTTCTCAGTGCTGCAGACTTGATGCTTGACTGTCATACAGATATTTGCGCATAAAAAGACGCTGCAGTGACTTGCCACTGGATTCCCAGACAAAAACGGAGCATGGAAAAACACTTTGACTTTCCATAGCATTCACTGAACTCAATGAGTAACTCGTATACTATTAGGCTTCATCAATAAAGGGCCTGTTTCAATGTGTTTCCCAGAAAGAGTCACGGGCAAAGAAAAGAGAGGGACTATTTTCAGAAGACTTTTGTGGGTGGGATTAAGTGTAACAGATGCTGGTTTATTGTGTGTGTCTGAATCCTGGGCCCTTTCTGGTGTGTTATTCCTGAGATTGCCAAGAAAATCTGAAATAGCAACTGGTTGGAGAGAAGTAGAGGGAGGAAAGAGTGAGGGGTCACAGGCAAGGAGAGATGGGGGAGGGGGGCAGGAAACTGATGATCAAGCCCACCTCCTCACCCGCCTCCCCACCTCCCTCCTCTTCCCTCCTGCACCGAGTCTCGCTGCTTTGTTCCTCTTTTTCCTCTGCTCACCTCCGCCATTGGCTGACCAGAGCGGACTGTCATCATAACCAACATTTCAAGACTATTTTAAGAACCTTTTACCCCAATCCTGTCCTTCCACCCCTCCTCGAGTTCCCTGAAAAAATGGAGGGAGGAGGTGAAGGGGGTCTGTGGGGGAGGCAGACCAAATACTGTTGAGTGTCAGCGGTTCGACCTGAGCCCAGCTCTTTTAGCCATATGCCCTCCACATTCTTTCTCTCGTTGCAATGGGAATTCCTTTGTTTGGAGTTGTTTCTCTCTCCAGAAAACTGGAGTTAAATGAGGGAGGAAATCTGAAGCCTTGCCCCCGGTTTACGTTCCATGGAATTTTTGCTGAGTTCTTTCAGTCAGCAGGGGGAAGACCCCCTTCAGACCTTCACGAATAATTCACGATTATTACAACTTAGGTCCTATTTTTGTAGTTTGGGACATAAATCCTGTTGGCTCTGAGAACATTATACTCACCAAAGAAAAATCACTAAAGCAATACATCAGATGAGGAAAACACATGAGGTGTCATACACTCATACTTACTGTAAACAAGTCCAGGCAGATTACCAAAACGCTTTTTTTTTCTGAGATAAGATGGAAAGTGAAAGCACCGTAAATGTCTAAAAATTCCCCCGTTGCACAGGAAAATTGTGAGCTCACATGTCTATGTCAAGTTCAGGAGGCCAAAGTTGAACCAACTGATAAATGAACGGACAGTTTGGGTGATAACTTTGCCTTTATTTTTTTTTCTAGATAACTTTTGCTAACCTGAGTGTTTCTTTAAAACCCGTGTGTTTGTCTGGCTTCTGGATTCTTTTTAATAATGGTACTACGTTCCCAGATTTTAGCAATTAACAGTAGAGTGTTTTTAAAAATATATTTAATTGTTGTCAGACGATTAACTAATCATAACTCAAATACATCATTAGCTTCTATAGCTGCAACAGTTATAACTACTGAAACACATACATAATAAAATGTATAAATAAATAAATAAGTCATTCTATATTGTTTACTATTAAATCTGCAAATGTACCTGTATATCAAATTAATTATGTGTGATTAACCAACTAGTCTTAGCAGCTCCACAAATAAGCCTTTACATGAATGTATCAAGGAGCACAGTTGAGATATGTGCACTGATACATGCATCCTCATACGCATAAAAATCTGCATTAACATGCATATTTAAAAATGAAAAAAAACTTATATAGCGCCTTTTTCCACCTTAGTGGTACCCAAGGCGCTTTACAACCCATTCACACACACATTCACACCATTGGTGACAGAGCTGCCATGCAAGGCGCTAATCTGCCATTGGGAGCAACTTAGGGTTCAGTGTCTTGCCCAAGGACACTTCGGCATGGGGGGGGGGGGACCGGGGATCGAACCGCCAACCTTGCCATCAGTGGACAACCCGCTCTACCACCTGAGCCACAGCCGCCCAAATAAATATCTAAATATCTAATTATACCAACACCCATGCACCTGTATTATTTCACCATATGCCACTATCATTTCACTTCAAACAATGCCCTCATTTAGCCCATCTTGTTTCAAAGCAGTCAACATTGCCTCAGATTAATGGTTCCATTTGTCTATAGTTCCTTTTTGTCTCCAACCTTTTGTTAAAGGTTTTCAAATAACTTATTTTTTCTTCTTTAAATCTGTTATTCCAGAAGACATCCCACCACACAATATATTTTATTATATTATGTTATAGGACAGATGGCCAAAAGAAGACTTGACCTGTTATAAACTAGACATAAACCGTACCAAGAGAAAGATCTCTGTGGACTCTAGAAATCACTTTAATCACAATTTTCTCCCTTTTTCGCCTTCTTGTCTCCATTAATGAGTAAAATGCAGTCCTAAAGGATAAGGGTGTGTTCTTGATTCGGTGCCCTGCTGACCCCCTCTGTTCTCATGCGTCACAGGTGGGTCAGGGAGTTCCTCAATGATGAGAACAGAGGTCTTGACGTCCTGGTGGAGTACCTTTCCTTTGCCCAGTGTGCAGTCATGTGAGTACACACAAACACACCTCTCATGGCCAAAGCCTTTCCTGATGAACTGGGTTGGGCAGTGATTCCAGCTGCTGAGTTACCACATTGTGTCATGCGGAGCCTGTAGACTCTAAACTGCTTTGTGCATCTAAAAATGTGCTCTCGGCACATTGCATACTTTGGATGTGGTGGTGTGCTTTGGTTTTGCAAAGTGAATGTGTTTCTAGACAGATGCTATGTGGTTTAGCGCTGAGCTATACGTTGCCTGAATGGGACAGAAAGTCTGTGCTGAGCTTTATCGTGCAGCTTGATGACAGTTCTTGTGATAACCCCTGGCTCTTTACCAAGCTGCCTCGCTAACCTAACCTCCCTCATGCCTCCCATCTACACCCCCGTGCCTCTGTGTTGGCTTGTCTGTTTGTATGTATGTGGCCCAGGTTGGATTTTGAGGGGCTGGAAAATGGGGAGGATGGCTTCTTGGACAAGGCTAAATCTTGGAGCAGGTCCATAGAGGATCTGCACCATTCGAGCACCCAACCCTTCTGCAACACACTGGTGCGCTCGGCTCGCCAGTCTGTCCTCCGGTACGTATTGCTAAGCCAGGCTTCCCCGCTATTTGCTATCCCTGTTATTGCCTCGCTCTGCTAACCTTGAATGCTGTAAACATATATTAGCATGCAATCCTTGGTGCTGTTTTGTTTCAGGGAAATGCCTCAAAGGTTGATAAGTTCTCAGTCTGGTGACCTCTCTCTTGACCTCAAGGCTTTGCACTGCTCAAACTCAATGAGATGGCGAGCTGTATCACACATAGAAACTGAAAATCTTTGACCTTTAGTGCTCTGAGTCTCTGTTTGTTAATGGTCCTCCTTCATCTGCCCAGATGTGCGTCTGCACTGTCTGCAGATGAGAGCCAGCTGTGAGCAGCCGCATGTGTTGGACAGTTGCGATTCTCGTCTTCACCACTGCAAAGACAGGAGTCAAAGAGACATTAGATGTAAAGTTTGATTGAAAGCGATGACATTATTTGATGCACAGAAAATAAATAACTCTCAAGAATAGTTTTCTTTATATCATTTCAAAGGCAAAAGCACCAAAAAAAAGCACCATTTATTCTGGAAAACCTGACGCCTTATGTAGTTTTTATTTAGAAAATGTTGTATATGAAAAGTTTACCAAAAAGTGGAATCATGAGGGTGGTGAAAACCACTTATAAACTGCACAAGAACAGTAATGTTATAAGCACGTGATGACTGTGCAATAGTTACATAACAGCAGTCTGTGTGCACAAACCTGATCTGTTGACAACAGCAAGGAAACCAAGCTCCCATAATGCATCTGTAACCTCAAAAACCATCGAAGTTTTTTCTGTCGGCCCACGTTCTCTGTAATTTTCTGTCTTTGTCTCTCTCTGTGGTACACACTTAAAACATTAGTTATGTGAATTGCAGATAATCTTGAGAAATAAATGAAATGAGCTGTGATTGAATAACAATTTGAAGGTAATCAGCTGAATTTGATTACTGAATCCCCAGGAGGTATTAACTTCTGCCATCTGTTGCAGCTATGGCACGGTTTCGAACAGCAAAACCATCAAGAACTCTCGGCTTGTGAGTCAAAAAGATGATGTGCACGTGTGCATCATGTGCTTGAGAGCGATCATGAACTATCAGGTACCCACACAATGTGCAATCTGACATACATATGTGTTATAAACATGGAGGATCGTGTGTTTCCTGTGCTGTAAAATGCTGGATGTATACTCAGGTATTTTTTTCACCACATCCTGTTCTTTCTCTCTCTGTTTCCATGCAGTATGGCTTCAATATGGTCATGTCTCATGCACATGCAGTCAATGAAATTGCTCTCAGCTTGAACAATAAGAACTCGCGGTAAGAACTGAGGACCCCATCTCCATAGAAGCAGGGTTGGGTCAAACAATAGGGGAAACCCTGCAGCCAGTTCATATGATATGGTTCCCATTCTCCATGGGGCTCGGCTTCTCTCTGAAGTCGAGGATCAGAGGCGTATATACTGGCCGTTAAAGGAATGTTTACTAAGAGGAGATTAGTGGTAAACCACTGGGACTGATCAGTTCATAATAGAGGCTAGGAGGGTAAACACTTAAAAAGCAATAAAGACCTGCCCTTGTTTTAGACTTAAGTATGGATTACAGCTTTCAACCCCTATATGGTGACATTTGCACCGGGTTGGCGGGAATAGCCAGACATTCTGGTTGTATAGATGGTATAGAAACAGTGTTTTTCCAAATTTTCTGTGACATTTCTTTGACTAATTAGTGGGACAGGTAGTGTTTGTAGTTCAACCCTGTGGTGGTGTATTGTACTGATGAATGTCGCCTGCACTTTCAGGACAAAGGCTTTGGTTCTCGAACTGCTGGCTGCCGTCTGTCTCGTCCGAGGAGGTCACGAGATCATCCTTTCAGCTTTTGACAACTTCAAAGAGGTGCCCAGAGCAACTTTCTAATGAAATTTGAACCATTAACATTGTTGAACGGTTTATAATTGAGTGGTAATGCCTTGTTTAGCCTGCGAGGGCAGAACGTACCAAAAGCAAATATTCTCATGTGCATAAAAGCATAAAGAACCAGAGCAGAGGGAGGGACGTTCAGGAACTCTGGGAGATTTCACGTCTACTGAGGGTGTAAGCAAAGCTCTATGGTGGCCTGTCTAAGGTTATTAGTCTCATTAAGACACCAGATGTGAGCCAACCTTGAACAATGATAAGGATCAGCTCCCCGATGGGAGCCAGCGGACCACAAAAATTTGCTTAGCCTCTCAGTTTCTGCCTGTGCAGTCATCTAAACACCGGAACAGGACAATTACCTTGCAGTCGAAAGCCCCCCAAAAGACCCAAGAGCTAATCAACCCACTAGTGAAAACAAAATGGTAATTTTGCAAAGGTATTTTCCAAAATTGTATTTTAATAGAAGGTGGCAGGACTCTGAAATCACAGAAGAAGGCCACCTATGGTATTCAACCACAGCTGCAATAATTAACTATTCGATCCACAACTGCTATGTTTAGTCAGGATGGTAAGAAATAAGCATGCTTTTGTACTGACAAAAAACCCACTTCAGAACGTGAAAAATACAATTTGCTTCCCCATTTCTCCTTTGAGTGTATTTTTGTGCAGGACATTTGCAAAAAAAAAAAAAAGTCCCATGCCTTTCTGGCTTACCTGCTTCCCTTCCCATGAATTATGACAGTAAAAAGAAATTGTTGTTATAAGTAAGCTGTCTTCTATTTGCATAAAGAAGACTTACAGAACATTATGAAAATCTTGTTGATATATCAGAATCAGAATCAGAAATACTTTATTAAGCCCCTCGGGGAAATTGCTTTCTGTTACAGGTGCTCCCATTCAAAAGTCTTAAGAGAAGTAGGAAAGTTTAAAATATATGATAAAAATGTCTACATAAGTATTAATATGAAATAAAATATATCTAAGCATGAAATATAAATGTACATTCTGCTCTTGTAGTTTAGTAGTATATATATTCATATTTTACCTTTGTATTGCATCAAGTCAAGACATAATAGAAGTTTTAAAAAAAACAGAGGACATCATCTTTTTGGAAATTATAAGTAAATGATAAAATAAATACATTTAGATAAAATTATCTTTATGTACTGTAGTTCCATAGTGTTTTAATTATAAAAAGATATTAAAACCAGTGATATATGTATACATATGTATACATTTTCCTTTAACAAAATGTTTTAAAGGGGGATTTTTTGGAAAACAAATATTTCTTTTTTAAGCTTTCTATTTTCTGTATCTTCTCCATAATGTAAAGCAGCGTAATCTGTTCTATCAGTTTCCTCCACAACACAACCTCTCCAACATCAGTCAGATTAATCACTATATCCTGACATAAAAGAAGCAGATTTAAATTAAAGCCGCAAGCGGCATTTGACGGGTCCTCGCACCTACGCTTGTCGGCCTTCGCGCACGTCG